AAATATTTCCCATGATTCTCAGCGATCATAGCTTCCTAGGCTTTTGGTGAACAGTAAACAGGGAGAGAAGAGGCAGAACTTTGAAGCACGAAGTACCAGTCTTGCGGCTGCGTTCTGAACACGCTGAAGCTTGTCAAGGTGGAACTTCGGCAGGCCGAACAATAAGGAATTGCAGTGATCAAGCCGGCTTGTAACAAAAGCATCCACAAGTGTTTCTAATGTATCTCGACTGAGATATTTCCTGATACGCGATGTGTTATGTAAATGATAGAATGCAGATTTACATACGTTGTTTACATGCGAAACCATAGAGAAATTACTGTCAAATAAAGAACCAAGGTTTCTAACAACATCTGAAGCACTGGTTTCACAATGACCAACAGTTAATTTCTCAATATTAAATATACATTCAAAACAAATTACCTTAATGAAAATACGACGAACAATATTATCTAAACAAACTTTGACAACTTTGAGACACTAGCCGCGGCTTTTCTCAAGGGACTATACTTGTACTGTCGTTTTGCTCCTTTTTTCGAAAGAACAAGCTAATATTTGGAACAGAACAAAACTAGGAAGGCGGCGCTATTCAGGGAAGTATTCTGGGACCACTGAAAGATTCATCGTTTAGTTCTGATTTGATGAATTGGGCGGCAGTACTCACAGTGTAGATCGTCGAGCGATCCTGATCCACAGAAACAAAGATTAAAAGAAGATATAATTTCTGAAGACTTGTACCCTTTTCCACCAGACCATTAAAATTTCCACAGTAGTAAATTTCCCTTAAGGCGTGGATGCCCTTGGTTTTAAGAGAATTCTTGCTTATAAATCATTCGAAAACGCAAGCCTGTGTGATGTCCTAGCTACCCTGAAAAGGAAATTATGCACAGAATATAATGACCCTCACATTATAGAGCAGTTCTAGCAAGTTTCAAATTCTTTTTTTCGTTAGAAAGGTCCTTAAAGTTCATAAATTTCATAAAACTATAAGACTTTCCTTAATATTCTGTCAGTTGCTAATCAAGAATGCAGATTGCTGAATATGTTGCTATGCTGTTTCTTTTGCCTAACATAGTTATATAGTCCGGCCTTAGTCTCTTTAACACTGAATCTAAACTTGCTACTACCACTGGTACTACTTTAACCTTTGTCTTCCACAGCTTCTTCAATTCTCTCGTGAGGTCCTGGTATTTTTCTATTTCCTCAAGTTCTTTGATTTCAATCCTTCTGTCAGCAGGCATAGCTACATCGATAATGCAGGTCTTGTCTGATTCCTTCTCAACCAACGCTATATCCGGACGTCTAGCTTGGATTATTCCATCTGGCTGGATGTTAAAATCCCACAGCAAATTGACTTGATGGTTCTCCATCACTATATCAGGAACATGTTCGTACCATTTTCATAACACGGTAATCCATATTTTTGTACATCTCCCAGTGTAAAAGTATCGCAATTTTGTGTGTCATGTACTCTTTCTGTGCACATTTACTGAAGGCGCAAATTATATACTCAACCGTTTCGTCACTTGTGCCACACATTCTACACTTTTATTTCAGAAATTTCCTGATTTTCGATTTTGGGCTTTATGATGTTAGTTATTAAAGCTTGATCTTGAGGAGCAATGATTAGCCCTTCCGTTTCTCTCTTCAGGTTACCAACTCTCAACCAATTCCACGTCTCCTTATCCGCCACGTCCTTTACTTGCTGATGGTACTGTCTCTGTAGGGGTTTTGTCATTATTTCTGGCCATCTTTCTTCCCTCCTTCTCTCCTTGTAATCCCTTAGGTTATTCCACCGATGTAATTTTCTTTATTTTAATCACACTTTTTTTTTCATGGCCGCGCGTCAAAATTTACGTCAATAATAAAGTTATCATTAGTAGATTTTACATGACTTAAAATTTTAAGCTACTACCGTCTGGTGTCGTGATCATCAAATATTTTGTGCGCGGTGTAGCAATAGCACTGCTGTTTAACATGCATATTAATTAAATCTCTAATGTGGCTTAGCATTCCCGAATCCAAAAATTGCTTGAAGTAGAAATTGAAGAATGAGCACTTCAGTAGTACATCCAGTTTATAACAAAATACTTCAAAACTCTTTTAACCTTTCTTTTCTTTAACAAAAACAAAATCCCAAATTTGTTTGAAAAACAAGGAGGAAACTGTACCAACCTTTACGGGGGGAAATCTGACCGGTAACCAAACTTTTGACATGACTTTTTCACAAAGCCTGAACTTTAAACCGTTAGAACAGAAGATTACAGGATATCCTAAAATATTTAGGAAAAGTAATATTGATTACAACTTAAGGAACGCTGACTTCCAAAGACCTAGGTTTAATACCGTTAATTACGGAAAACATAGTTTGAGTTATCTGGGTCCATTTACATGGGAAAAACTGGACAAAAAAATTTGGAAATTCAAATTCCTTGAATTTATTTAAGAGTGGTATTAATAATTTAGACTTGCAAAAATTTATGCAGGACAACCGTCATGACTGTCCTTTATGTAATAGCTTATTTTTTATTTAATTTTAATTTATATTTTAATTAATTAATTTGTTAATTATACTTATTTTGCGTGCTTACTGCATTAGCCAACTGAAAGACAATGTGAAAATAAAAAGGAAATACAGAAAGAAAAAATTATATATAAGATTACAAAAATCAGAAAGGAGTAATCAGGTTTTTAAATGCACTTTGCAACCTTCAATGCGATTGGCTAACTATATTTAGCATGTCATCCACATGAGATGTCCTCTGGATGTAAGACAATGGCCCTTGACTCAATTGCATACCCCTTCACCGCTTAATTGTACGTTTTGGTGGTTCCATTAACTTAAATTTGTAAGGGCTTATGAATTAGCTCTCAAAGCATTTTACAAACAAGCTCCAGGCGGAAATAATACCTATTGCAAGTGTTGATATAGGCAACAGAATATATTTAATAGCGCGAATAAACTATTGTAGCATAAGAGGGCTGTAAGACCTTCATCTAACAGGGCCAAAGCGCGCAAAGGGAATGAATTTTGAACCTTCGTAAGAAAGGAAAGGTCGCTTAAATATCTACTGACCTAGTGGCGACGATTCGTTAAACGTTTCCTTATTCCCATTTAACAGAACACACTAAGACAACAATGAAACAAGAAAAGTGCAAACTTCGTGCTTGTCATTGGCCAGATGAGTCAGATACATGACAAAGTGAAGAAACCGTCATAACTTATATTTGATTTCACACAGTCACTCGTTAAGTGCTGGCAGGTGCAAGAGAGAAAGAGAGAAAAACTCCTCTGGGCAGTCCTGAGGACGTGACTGTGCGATAGCGAGGTGACATAACAACTTATTGGTTTTCTGCTATGATTGATTTTTTTTCTAGGAAATTATTTAACAAATAAAATACATTTACTGTGTTTGCACACGCTAATGCAAACCAAGATGGGGTTGTGAGAATTCGAGAGCAGATCAGTGCAAACACGAGCCGTAGGCGGGAAAAAAAACACAAAAATAACGAAACACGATTGAAAAACAGAAGAATTTAGTTCAAAGTTTTAAATACAAATTCTCCTTAAATACTTGTGCATTTGCAATAACCAATCCGATTGCGCGAAAGAAGACGCTTAACCAATCAAATTGCGAGTTTGATACACGCCTCCAACCATGAAATTCAAGATGAAAGTTTTTTATTTCAAAGCGAGAAGAAGCCAAACTTTAGTGACTTTTACAAGCAGATCTAGATAAAATAATAATTCCAAAGCTTAACCAATGGCTTTAGTCATTCTAGACTAAAAAGAACACTATTTTGAGAGCTAGAACTTGCTAAATTCAAGCTTGATTTCCGTCGGTGTTGTTGAAAGAGTTCGTCGAGATTCTCCGAGTTCAGGCTGGCAAATCTGGATTTTTGCTTTTTT